CCCATTGTTTCTCGCCGGCGAACTCGGGCCACATGATTACGTGTCCAGCGTGCTGTCTACACAGCCACCGGCGCCCGTGTGTGTGTGTGTGTGTGTGTGTGTGTGTGTGTGTGTGTGTGTGTGTGTGTGTGTGTGTGTGTGTGTGTGTGTGTGTGTGTGTGTCTACCCCCCCCCCCACCACTGACCCCTTTTCAACAGAGCGGAAAGACTTATTTAATGCAACATTGTTACGTGACTAATAAATTGGCTTTGAATCTTAGCCGGAAGACAATCTTTATTACCACACACACACACACACACACACACACACACACACACACACACACACACACACACACACACACACACACACAGGGATCCCACAACGACGCTGGGTCGGGCACGCGACCTCCTCCGGACATGCTTGCTGGCCACGACCTCGGCTTCCTGGCTACCACTGTGCTTTCTCTAGGATTTTCTTCGCATAGAAAACGAGAATTTGCTCACACAGAGAATCGGATCGAGTTAGTATTAGAAAGTTGAACCTTGCTAGTATTGCAAATATGCATGGTATGTTATTAGTAAACCTAGTGAAATATTTTATTAAAGAAAATGGGCTACTGTATGATAGAAAATGGGATATTGTTATTATTTATAAACCGCTATTCGTATGAAACATAGGATTTTGTTATTATATAAACATGGGATTTTGCTGGAAGAGAAAATTATATATATATATAATATATATATATATATATATATATATATATATATATATATATATATATATATATATATATATATATATATTATATATATATATGAAAAAGAGACGTACTGTGTCACTTGGAAGATGAAGAACAAAGCTTTGAAAACATTGTAGAACCATGAACCACTCTCCTGATTACCAAACTTCAAACTGATTGGACGAGAATGTTGGGAACTCTGAGTTAATTGGAGCAGAAAATCAACAACTTGACGTTAATTGGTAGAACGCACGGGAAAACTGGGTTCTGATTGGTTAAGTATCTAAGCACTCAATTGGATATGCGAATTGGAATCTACATATTGATTGGATGATGATAGCAGTATAATGGAACTGATTGGATGACGTCAACGGTATTATGGAGTTGATTGGATGAGATATGAGGTTTAAGGAAATATATTAGGATGAATAAACGATTTAATGGAACTAATTGCATTAATTCAACGGCATAATTAAGATGATTGCACGAACTCATCTGTATAATGAGTTGATTAGATTAATGAAGATTACGATATGAAATCAACGGTATAGTGATGATGATGTTAGGCTAAACTCCCGTCTCAGTGGGATTAGTTAGGATATCAGCTGGTCTTTCTGTACATGTATTTGTCTCTGTCGGTATCTGTTTCCCCCCTCCTCTCTCTCTCTCTCTCTCTCTCTCTCTCTCTCTCTCTCTCTCTCTCTCTCTCTCTCTCTCTCTCTCTCTCTCTCTCTCTCTCTCTCTCTCTCTCTCTCAGGGTTCACCAGTTGAGACGGAATCCTCTTAATATCTTCTCTGGCGTTTTATCAAAGTGCGGGAAGAGTCCACTCATTGTTCCAATTGTTGATATTGTGGCTGCTTGTGGGGGTGGGGAGGGGCTGGGCTGGGATGGCATGGGGTTCGGTGGCTCTTGGGTGGGGGGTTTGGGTGATGAATGGGTTGAGGTGGTGGGGGGAAGGAGGTTTTGAGGAGAAAGAGAGAGAGAGAAGCACGAGAATCAGGAGATAGAGGAGCTCTATCTATATCTATTTGGCTAAAAACGTATATGCTAGTCCCCTAGCGAGAGCCTAGCGACGGATATCCCTGTACCCAAGCCAGTGCCGTTTCAACGTATAGGCACACTGGGCAGTTGCCCAGGATCTCACGATTTTAGGTGCCACATGGTGCCATAGTGCTCATGAGAGCTCTCTCGGGAGAATGGATAATTACTCTATCTCTCACTGTAGATTCAACTCCTCCTTTTACATTTATTCATAATATAAGTAGCTTGTGCATAACTATCTGAGAATACTCCTGTATTTTAGATGACTACACATCGTCTGGGTAAGGGGGCCCAGTGCCCATAAGCTGGGTAAGGACCCCAGTGCCATTCATCTGAGTAGAGGGACCTCAGCGTTCATCAATTTTACAAACAGAGATGCTAGCCATTCAAAAGGCTTTGGAACATGCTCTTGCTGAACACCGACAATATGTTATCATACATACAGATTCGAGAACTGTCACTGAAACCTTGCAACAAGAACACATATGTGATAACATCCATCAGATCACAATTGTCATATCATTACTGCAAAAACTCAAACGTCAAGGCCGTCGGGTACTTATCAACTGGGTGCCAAGTCATGTGGGAATAACAGGAAATGACATTGCAGACGAAGCTACAAAACTTGCAACTAAGAGAAGAAATGTAGACATTTACATACCACAGAGTCTATCACAGATTAAGAAAGTAATTAGAAATAAGTTGCAACATCAGGATCTGCGGGTTGGTACAAGAATTCAACCAACTATGAACCACTTAGTTTGATGAAAGGGAGCAGTGGAACAACAGAAGTAAACTTACATCGCATCAGGCTTGGATACCCATGTGCATGGGAAATAGGCTTACAGGTCCCAGAAGATGAGAGGAAATGTCAGCACTGTGGAGAAATGCCCGACAGACCACTGGAACCTTATCTAACACAGTGCACAGTTACTAACTCATTAAGATTTCAACTTAGATTCAACACAGCAGAAGTTGTTAAACACATGGGACAAACTCTTACTGAAACGACCATACGAGTCATAAATACTCATACTCTGCCCAAGTAAAACAGAAACAAGTAACATTTAGTGGGCCAGTCAGAAGCTTAGGGTCCGCTCAGGATCCTGCAAAAAAAATCTGGGTAGGGGACAAGTGCATTGCTTTCCTCAGGATCTACTATGCTGTTAAGACGGCCCTGACCCTAGCGAGTGCCTATCGACGGATATCATCGTGGGCTAGCGAGTACCTAACGATAGATATCTTCACACGCCAGTGAGTGCCACGACTAAGAATATATATACCATACACTGGAGGTCAAGCCCTTGCAGTTTATGTAACCGACCCCCTCCCCACATATGATACTTTCTACATAATTGAAACCGTAAATAGAGTCGCAATTCGGACTTTGTATTCAAGACAACATTTTGCAAATTACCGCACAACAGTGCCCTTGATAAGTCAAGTGAGTCTTCAAATGCATTTTATTGCTGCTTTAATTTTAAGTAAAAGCCTCATGCTCTGACGTCGCCATGATAAGTTAGACAAGCACCCCCCCTGCAGAAGAGGATAGGGGTAGGAGAGGATAGGGTCGGTGGAGGGGGAGTGGAGATGGACGGGATGTTGGGAGAGACAAGAAAGGAATGTTGGCACCCCTCATTGGATAGTCAGGCTGGAAAATAGAGCCTTAACTCGAAGCGTGTCTGATGAGGGACGTGTACGCCACAGTAAGTTATGAATCAACATTGTAATTCCGCTCAGCTTGTTCACGGCTCAGACAGCCACACTCATTCTTGGTGTTCATATTCACTCCTATTCTCCACACTCTTCCCTTGTGCTTGAAGCTGTAGGCATCGTTAGGTTAACTTGGATTACGTTCTGCTAGATTAAAATATTCCAGCTTAGGTTAGGATAGGCAAGGTTTAAATTAGATTAGACTTGATTAGGTTAGTCTTGGCTAGACTAGGCAAGGTTAGAATTATGCCCAGCTTAGGCTGGGTTAGGTTATGAGGTTAAGTTAGGTTGTGTTAGTATGCCTTTCGAATAGTACATCGCATTTTGACGTATAACTCAACAAAGTCGAAAAAACTGATATACAAAAAAAAATCTTAAGAAGCTAGCAAAATTGGCGTGATGTCTCTTTTTTTCATTCGTGGATCTTCCGTTAGGTTACGTTCGGGCAAATTTGTTTTAAAACTAAGACTGGGGGTTCATTAGGGCTATCAAATGACGTATCTAGTGAAACTGCAAGCAAGAGCTGTTTTCCAGACTCAGCTCATCTGAAGCCTGCTCCATGAAACTCATTTATTTCATGAGAATGTAATTTGAAAGTACATTTAGTTTAATACATCAGTTTTATATTATTATGCATCAGTTTTATATTATTAATAATACTTATACTAATAATAATAATATTAATAATAATTGTATTATTAGTAATAACTATAGGCATTAAATAATATTGCAAATATGCAAAACGCAAAAACTGGTTTGCTACCCGTTCTGCTTGCATGATTACAAACGTGCTAGTTAGCTCGACATTCATACTTGCTTACCTACTCGTACATGGGCCTACATGATTACTTTCAAGGTTTCTTGCGCTCATCCTATTAGTTGATAGCATGGTTTCTATCGTGCTTGATTGATTTTCTCAATGGCCTGTAAGTGTTCAGTCCCATATGTATATATGTCCTACTAGATTGCGTAAACAACGGGAGACATCTCGCATCACGCAGGGTGCAGTCGCACCTCCACAGATCTGCAGTATGATACAGGTAATCGCTCAAAAGGGCCACCACTTACGGGCTATTCATGCCCGTGCCACCTTTTGGGTGGCTTAATCTTTTTCAATCAATCATGGCACTCACACGGGAGACATCTCCCGCCACGCAGGGTGCAGTCGCACCTTCACAGATCTCCAGTATCAGCTCTTGATACTGGTAATGGCTCCAAAGGGCCACCACTTACGGGCTATTCATGCCCGTGCCACTTTTCGAGTGGCTTAATCTTCATCAATCAATCAGCCTAATCAAAAAAACAGTATTGGAAATTTGGGGTATTGATCTACACATCAGTATTGCAATATCAATAATACCCTCCGAACAGCATGGTATCAACATTCACAACAATGTCTGCATCAACACGATAAGGTACTCAACAACATGGTAATGTCTCCAACAACACGGCCACATTTGCAATAATATTGCCGAATCTTCAACATGACCGGCTTTTAATGTGGCCGGCAGGTTGCTCTTTCAGCTGAGACCCTGTCCACCTGTCATATGGCCCAGACGTCCAGCCATGTGGCGGGGACGTCCAGCCATGTGGCAGGGACGTCCAGCCATGTGGCAGGGACGCCCAGCCATGTGGCGGGGACGTCCAGCGATGTGGCAGGGACGTCCAGCCATGTGGCAGGGACGTCCAGCCATGTGGCAGGGACGTCCAGCCATGTGGCAGGGACGCCCAGCCATGTGGCAGGGACGCCCAGCCATGTGGCGGGGACGTCCAGCCATGTGGCGGGGACGTCCAGCCATGTGGCGGGGACGTCCAGCCATGTGGCAGGGACGTCCAGCCATGTGGCGGGGACGTCCAGCTATGTGGCGGAGCCCATCAGTTATGTGATGTTGGCGTCCAGCCATATTTATCTTTTACCTGATTTACCAGAGGGCCACTAACCCTAGTGGCCTCGACGAGGACAGGAAGCCGGCGGCATGTTGAAGGTCCCCCTTCGTCAACATGTCAACATATGATGTTGACATTCATATTAAATATATTAAAATAATTTGCTTTTCGTAACAGGAATAATTATTTGTCATAATTTTACAATGCTGTGCAGGACTTCTATCAGTAGCAATATTAGGATCTTAGTCGTATATCAGTAAACAAATTTCAATTAAACCCCTTCTTCTGTTTTTTGTGGGGGGGGGGGGGAAGGGAATTCTAGTGAGGTCATTTACACTAAGACTTACGTAAAGAGGCAATTTTTATGCATACGACTCATAAGTCAAGACTCAAGCTGGGGTTGAGTTCCTGCCAGCCTTGGCCAAGCTCGTCCCAGCTATCCCCCCATTCCTCTCCTCTTCCCCACTAGCCGCATCCACCCCCCCTTTATTGTGGCGTTCATGTCGTGTGTATTTGTCTGACACACACAACATAAAGCATTATGTGATGATTTTATTCAACTTAATATTAATTTGTTGTATTTTGCAAGATTCATAACACATGAATGATTGTATTATACATTTTATATAATATTTTATATATAATATATTATATATACAATAATATTATATAAAACATATTGTAATATATTATATATAATATAATACAAATATTATTATATAATATAAATATTATTATATAATATAATATAATTATATATAATATAAATATTATATATAATATAATTTAATAATACACGGGAGACATCTCTCGTCACGCAGGGTGCAGTCGCACCTCCACAGATCTCTAGTATCATCTATTGATACTGGTAATGGCTCAAAAGTGCCACCACTTACGAGCTATTCATGCCCGTGCCACCTTTTGGGTGGCTTAATCTTCATCAATCATAAATATAATATATAATATTATATATCTGCAAATAATTGTAATTGTCTGTTCAACAATATATATAATCCCTCAGCCACTATGCAAGAGACCAATTAGCGTGGCAACGCTACACGGGTCTTGTGAGAGTAATGAGCAAGTTGCCTGACAAACTGTCGTCTTTCATTGGTCAGCGCGAGTGATGACGAGAGTTTATACTGGTTGTGGTGACTAAAGCTGCTGAGGTTCACTCCCAAAAATTATAATAATGCTGAGGCTAATATTTATAAAATTAGGCCACTTTGAATTAAAATTTAGTTCTACCGAGATCAATATAATGTTGAGCACGAGAGAGGAACTCAATTGCTTGTGAATGTCGAGGAATATTATCGCTAAGCAATTACTGACAATAAATTAAACTATAAGGGAGAGTTGAAACTATTTTGAGTGAAGAGAATAAGCTAAAATTATCTAGCTAAATGTGTTTGTTTCTTAGTCTGTGTGTTATTTTGCATAATGTCTCAAGGAAAAGTGTCATTTGGCCATATCACTATGAAAAAAAACAACATTTTACCACCTATCTAGAATGCAGAAAGAGCTATACCACGGACAAACTGGAAATCTGTAACAGGGAAAATAATTCTGAAGTTTGAAGATGTCACGCCAATTACTTTTTGCTCGTCCCGCCGGTCAGTGAATGATCGAAGTGAGCGTCGAAGTCTCAGTCAAGGTGAGGATCGGGACGCCGTCGCCTTAACATGTAAGAATGGGGTTGTGCAGAGCTGACACCCACAGCCGACAAGACCCGACAAAGTTTCGTATAAGATCGTAAACGGGGCATGATGTTGCTACGAGTTCCGGTTGAAGGCGAGCGAAGAGATACGACTCAAGGACTCTCTCGTCTTGGCGAAGGGACGAAGTATTTGGTTTGATGAAATTACTGTTATTATGGCTGGTGTTTTTATTAATACGCGTTATATGTTGATGCTTGCTGAATTGGCTGGGAGGGAGGATAAACTGATCCCAAGCAGAGATTTTGATGTAAAGTGGTTCAGTAAACATAAAGTGGACTGATGTAGTGAAGGCATCAACCTGTGGACTGGCAAGCAGCCTCCGTCCATCCACTCACCCAGGACACACTTGAGTCCTCTCGCAATATTTCTCCTTTTTCTTTTTTCTTAGTCTTCATACGTTATTAATTTTTTCTCCCTCAGTTCTCCAAGTCATAAATACTTTCATTCAGTTACGCACGTCACTGGTTCGCGAAGATATTAGGTCAAATAATGTGATAACATTTAGTGTTCTTGAAAGATGATGTTGGCTTCCTCTCCTGCATGCTTCATCCTCCTTGGTTTCTTGACCTATTCTTCAGCACCACTCGTTGACCTGATTTAACCTCAGGTAGCAGTCCCTCTGTCATATATTCATGGAACAAAAAAGTAGCTAAACATAAATATTGCAACTTGAAAATAACTTAAGTTAAAACAAAAAAAGACGCACAATCACTTAATCAGGCAGCACTGAGGTTTGACACAAATTGTTATCCTGTATACAAAAATATATAACACTCTAACTGTTAGGTATTTTATACACGCAATACAGCAAATAAATCCAGTCAACACAAAGCCTTGATAATAATAAATACATCTCCTCCCTACCTGACCTTCCATGACCCCAAAACACAAACAATAACCAGTTCCTTCGCATATCCGAACTGGGCTTTCTCATGAGCTGTTTAATGCTTTTAATGCAAGCTCTTCCTCCGCGAATATTCCTTGGTAGTTGTAGGAAAAATCTAAGCAAATTTTAGCTTCAATAAGCCAGTACAATTAGAGTAAAGAAAGTTTTATAAAATTGGTAGACATCGTGTCCTCAGTGCGCTGGAGGAGAGGCTGCAGGAGTGGCGCGAGATGCTAGGCTTCATGACGGATGCTCGTTGCCTCTGGTCATACCAATGTCCGAGAGTCCAGTATATTCCGTTATACCACGCCGTTAGCATATCACAACCTTGGATTACACTTGAACACGCGAGAGAACTGCCCTGTGGACTCTAATTTGTGATACAAATTATGCAATGACATTTTTAGTACCGAGAAAGAGATAGTGCTTACTTAATAGTTAATCGGGAACATAATAAACCTATGTCCGGAGATCAGCAGATTTGGTTAAATTTAGAAATTACTTTGGGAATGATTACTGAGAACGACCTGAGCATCGCTAATCCCACAACACCTGTGTTAGCCGGGAACCGGATCCGTGCGAGGCAAGCAGGACGGAAATTGTGTCATGTAAATTCTTCTGCTTCGTTGTGTGAAAACTAAATAACCTTACAAGTACTCGCGGCATACCAGCAGTAGCTACCTTTACGAGTTTGGGGGTAATCTCACCCAAATTTGTAGGAAAAATTTACTAGGGAACGAGGTGGACATTAGCTAGTCGGGGTCGGCCAAAGTTAAATACTCTAGGAAATATTTGCATTTATAGGAACTCCCCCCAAGGGAATTTTCATAGTCAAGTGTGAAATATTTGGTGTGATTCCACAGTGTTTTTCAGTGCTAAGTAGAAATACATTTTTTGAGAGACCCTTACTGTTGTTTTAGTGCTTCTGAACAACATATTTTCTGAGGGTAGGGGGAGAAGGGTTGAAGAAGAGGGGAAGATGAGGGAAAAGACGAAGTGGGGGTTCCAAGGGGAAGCGGATCGGGGGAAGAAAGCGTGGGAGGAGAAATTAAGAGACCCAGGTGCAACCAGGGGACTTCCAGATCTTGTTCGCAGACTTTAAAATTTCACCACTATCAAGCTGCCTATCTGGTAACTCTATCATCATTACCTAGCCTCAGAACCCTACTGAGATTAATAATGTGTAGCCAAGCCAAATATGTATGTTGGAGGTAACCACGAGTTGTTGGTTGTCTGCTCAAAGCCAACAAAATATCCTTGTCCGTTCCACCAACTCTTATGAAATCGATCTAAGTAGTAGACCAATAAGCTAATGGAATATTTAGTCCCTAAAGGTTCAAGTTCAAGTATATTTATTGAGACAAGAAAATACATCTCAAAGGAATAGAGTAGCTTAGGCTATTTCTACCCCCCCCCCCCCCAACAGTCCCTGAAGGTGCAAAGATTGTTACCATAGATCAAAGCCTCGAACCAGGGCAGTGTTATTTTACAGTTACTTTAGTGACTCGTGTGTTGAAGTGGTGTATCAAGCCTCAGGGATTAATATAACCTCTCTCTGCATAGCCACCTATATTAAGACTAGATATTGAGGTTAGGTCAACAGACCCAACTCAGGCTTCCTACAACAATTCGGAGCAAAGAGTAAACAATCTTGCTAACAAACTTTCCACGGAGTGATTTGCTGTTGATGATTATGCATCAACGAGAAAGATACCCGTCAACTTTCGAGCCTCTGTCAACCAACTTCCACAACCCGTCTCTGTAAAACTTAAAGTGCAACAATATAACACGAGTCAATAAACAAATGCATGTTCATGATTAGCTTTCTGGTATCCATAAAGAACGGAGCGTTGATGCTAAGAGCAACAAAGAAAACGTATAAAGCTGTTCATACACTCATGAGTGACTGCAAGGGGTAATAAAGCAAAGGAATTATGTTTTACAGCACTTGTAATATTATCATGCGTGCCTCACTGTTTACCAGTCACCGGTACTTGTACAACTGCTGCCTATTGTGTCACACTCAATGACTTACACAGCTGCTGCCTGTTGTGTCACACTTAACGACTTACACAGCTGATGCCTGTTGTGTCACACTCAACGACTTGTACAGCTGATGCCTGTTATGTCACATTCAACGACTTGTACAGCTGATGCCTGTTGTGTCACATTCAACGACTTGTACAGCTGCTGCTGCCTGTTGTGTCACACTCAATGACTTACACAGCTGCTGCCTATTGTGTCACACTTAACGACTTACACAGCTGATGCCTGTTGTGTCACACTCAACGACTTGTACAGCTGATGCCTGTTGTGTCACATTCAACGACTTGTACAGCTGCTGCCTGTTGTGTCACACTCAATGACTTGTACAGCTGCTGCCTGTTGTGTCACACTCAACGACTTGTACAGC